GAATAAAAATAATATATATATATATATATATTATTTTTTTTCAAATTTTGTGTCTATTAAATATTTCTAAGCAATTAAGCCTTTCATATCTAACACTATTTAATAAATTTAAAAATATTAAATTTTAGTAAAATGAAATGATAAGACATTATTGTAAGTATTACATTACATGCATATATAACCTCTCATCTAATTCAATTTTTTTAACTTTTTTTTTTATGTAATTATTCCTCTTGAAATTATTATTAATGTTTATTTTTTCAATGAATTTATGAGATTAGATATTAAAATAATATTTTATTATTATTATGAGATATTTTAAGAAGAGAGAAGTGAAGCAGAAAAGAAGAGAAAACGAGTAAGAAATAAATACTTTTTTAATTTGTTTGAATTGAGAAAAGTGAAAAGGAAATACAAGAGAAAGAAAAGTAAGTATATATTAAAAAGACATTTATCCTCAATAATATATTTATATAGCACAAAATTAAAAGATAAATATGCCATTTAAATCTATAATAGATTTTACAACAACAAAAAAATTCCAACTTTTCTCTCACAAATCTCGTCATTCGTCAGTGAGGGAGAGATTTATTTTGCATGTAAGTCCTACTTATCTTTTCTCTCTTCTCTCACTTATTTTGTTCTAAACAACTAAAATATTCATTTTCACACTTTTTTCTCACATATTCTCATTAAAATCACAAACAAATGTACACTAAGAGAAGGAGCAAATTCTCCTTTATAGTGAAAAAATGTCTAACGGAAAAACAAGGACCACACTGTTAAGTGATAAGGATATTCGCGAGTAATATGATATCTAAAGTGGATAATTCAGCTAAACAAGTGATTCATTAAATCAGTTTGACGAATAGCTAATTCAATTTTTGATGAATGAAAAGTAAATATTTATCAATTCAATTTGATTAATGATTAATAAAAATACGTTACCGTCTCCATTGAGAAAAGTAAATATTTTACACTTTTATTTTTTTAAAAATATTTTTTACTAAAATATTTTTTTAACACTCTTATGTTGAAAGTTTAAATATTATATATGTATTTTTTCTCTTTTCTTATTCAAAGATATAAAATAATTTCTTTTAGTAGATCACAAATTCTGACCATTTTTTTTTGGTAAAAATATGACATTTTAAGAAAAAAATGATCAAGAATTATTTATTATTACATTTATATTTTCTTATGAATTATTTAATTTTTATATTATATTTTTAACCAAAACATGTTTTCAAAAGTATTTATACCTTGTAAATTAAATATGTTTTTCCTTAATGGTGAAAATTGAGTCAGTGTGTTTAGTAATGGAAAAAACAGGATAATAAATTAAGTCAACAGGAACTAATTGTGAATTATCTATTATTACATACACTTGGTGAAGATAATTCTAATGGTACTATTGTATTAGTTCTTTGGCAAAGGTAGCATCAAAACCTAACTTGGTAGACCATGCTATCAAAGATGGGTTAGAGAATATTTAGTAAAATTTGCACGGAGATTGAATTACTATTATGAAACTAAAGAAACTGCATAGACTTAAAATATATTTCATTCAATATTTGAAAAAATAATTGAAAAAATAAAATCAACTTCAATTTTTGATGGTTTAATGATAAAATAAGAATATGATAAATTAATAATTAAAAATAAAAAAAAAATAAAAATCTAAAAATTATAAAATATAATCGATAAAAACTATATTAAGTTACCCAACAATTGTACTGTGTGTTTGAAAATTTAATTAATGTAATTATTTGAAAAAATAATTTTTGTACAGGTAATTAATTCAATATTTACTATGTCTATCTTTAATAATGATGTCATTCAATTAGATAGGTCAATCTTTTTGATCTTCTACTTTTAAATATTGACCGGTATGCCTGCAAAACCAAAACTAAATTTTATTAAGTTTGGATACTACTGTGTTTACAAATGTGTCAAAAATAAATCAAAATGTAAATTAAAAAAATAAATGTATAAAAAATTCAAAATGAAAGTAAAAGAATCCATATATATAAATAAATGAAAATAGTTGGATTAAAATATTTTAATAATTATTATATTTTATCAATAGTATAAAATAAACTGCTATTAAATAATAAAAAATAGATGCATAAAAAGTATCAAAATAAAAGGAAAAAAATCAATATAATATATATATATATATATAATATTTTTCAAATTCAATAATTATATTTTGTAAAAAAAAACTCAACTTAAATTTCTGACATTTAATAATAAAATAAGAATATGCTAAATTAATAATTAAAAAAATGAGAATTAAGTAAACTGCTATAATAATAAATATATGCTAATATATATGAAATTAAGATATGTATATCATGCAATGTGATATTTTTAAATTCAATGATTATATTTTGTAAAAAAAAAATCAAGAAATTGAAAACAGATGAATAATTCTAAACCTTCGAACATTGTCCTAGTAATCCTCCTAAGATGAATAAAGTATCAAGTGGAGTTATGTGTTCAAGACACTAAAGGCGCGTTTAGACCTATGCATTTACTTTTCATTTAATGTTTCTTCTACAAGGTATTAGGAGGAACAATAAGAGGATATAACATTTCTCAAAAATGAGCATAAATAGATATAATAAGGACTCTGAGACACCACCCATTTAATCAAACATAGTAATGCTCAGGCAAGATTTGATAATTGTAGTGCCATAAGACATATGTCTCTGACATTTGGTTACTTATTGCCCTGCGCACAAGTCTCCAAATACTAAATCAAAGTATCAGCCGCATATGCTTCATGCATAACATCTACACCCACTATCGCCAAACCACTTCATTCTGTTCTTGCTGCCCCTACATCACATATCTTCTTCCCATTCTCATAATTTCATAATCATCGACACTCATTGTCGTTACCCATCCACCACATTCATTTCTTGTTTCTTAATTATTACAGCCTCCAATTCATCAAAATTAACTATAACAGAGAGCCAAAGAATTCATGCGTAATCTTCTATTAAAGGTTCACAAACTGAACACAGAATGCTTAATGCTCACTCACCATTGTTAACTTTTAGTTTTATCAAACAGGCCCCAAGACTGCTGCAAAGAACAGTACTTAAAAGCTTCATTGTGTGCGAACTAGGATCAAACTTGTTCTAGTATTCAACTGCACAATTGCACTGTACATGAATTGATTGTGTTGTTCATCAATGAAAAACTGCTTCAAATGATTGTCCAATAGCAGTTCTTTCTGGTCATGTGTACACGGGATGAACCTACGCCCTTTCTGCCCATGATGAAACTATCATCGGGGATAATAAATCCTGTGACTGCTGTAATGACGAACCTACACCCTTTTTCGAAAACTGCCCACCATAAAAGCAACCAACAGCAAATTTTGATAAAATTTGTTGTAACTTATTCATTTCAGTCACTAGATTCAAATATCATATTTAAATTTGAATTGTTGCGTGGCTTATAACCAGCATCCTTCATGTCCATAGTCAATTTGTCCAAGATATAATATATCTCACCACTTTGAGGGTGCTTCTCATCTCTAGATACAAAGCAGTTTGCACACCCAGCAACCTCAACCCAACTACATCCCAATTCCTTTTGCAAACCTCTTTCCTTCATCTGATTTCTCACTTTATCAACATTTGCCCACTCTCCTTCCTCCGCATAGATATTTGAGAGCAAAACATGATATCCTGCAATCCCTTTTTCTGTTTCCATATTAAGCAAATTTTCAGCAATAACTTTTCCCATTTCAAAGTACCCATGATTTTTGCAGGCCCCGAGAATAGATCCCCAGATTTCTATTGCATTGCCGTCCTCACCCAATCTCTCAACAAACTCATAGGCTTCGACCACCCTACCAACCCTCCCTAACATGTCTGCGACACAACAATAATGTTCAATCGAGGGCTTAATTTTATGAACTTTGTCCATAGACTCAAATATGCAAAGACCTTCTTCCACCAAACCACTATAACTGCAAGCAGACAAGATAGCAACAAAAGTAACCGCATCAGGCTTAATGCCACGACTCAGCATGGAATCATACAAGGTAAGAGCTCTTTTACCCATTCCATGCTGCCCATAGCTCATTATCATTGTGGTGTATGTGACAGAATTCTTCTCCGGAGAACTGATAAAAACATTTTCAGCATAACTGATTGCACCCGATTTGGAATATGTATCCACTAAAGCAGTTCCCACATAAACATTTTCATCCAAGAAATGCCGTATGGAGAATCCATGAAGTTGCCTAGCAAAGACTGTGCTTCCCATTGAACTACAAGCCGGGAGAATTGATGCCAAGGTCACCGCATTAGGCATCACCTTGTGCACTAATGCCTCTCTAAGAACGAGAATGGCTTTGTCACTGAACCCATTCTGAGTATAACCAGCAATCATAGCATTCCATGTGGCCAGATCTCTCTCACTTGGGCAGTTTTGCTCAAACAACAACTCGGAAGTCCTAATCAATCCGGATTTCGCATACATATCAATCAGATAACTCTCCATACCCTCAAACTGTATCCCATGGCGAATTAGATATGCATGGGTTTCCCTTCCAATGTACGAGTTCCTCAGGTTAGAAGCTGCAGAGAGAAGTGCCGTCACAGTGACAGAATCAATCTTAAACTTCTGTTTCTGCATCTCAAAGACAAGCATGAGTGCTTCGTCATCCAAACCATTCTGCACAAAGGAAGAAATTATAGTATTCCACGAAACTGCATCCCTTTCAGACATCTTATCAAAAACCTTGAAGGAGGTATCAACAAAACTGCACCTCGAGTACATGACGATTATCGCATTGACAACTTTAGTGGGAGAAAGTGGCAAACTTTTTAAAACAAATGCATGCAACTGCTGAGCCAATTTTATTTGCTGCAACTGCGAAACAGCAGTGATAACCGAGAGAAAAGTGACGTCATCGCAAACCGCCTCCTCGGACTCCAAGGCTTGAACGAAAACATGGATCCCTTGAACAGGACAGTTATTTTGAACATAACCACCGATCATGGTGTTCCAAACCTCTGTGTTTTTGTTTGAACAACGGTCGAAAACCTTCCTAGCGTACTCCAAGCAACCAAGATCAGCAAACATAACAATGGCGGCGCTAACAGCAAACACGTCATTGACATAGTTATCACCAAATTTAAGAAGCAAG